TTAGTGAAAGTTGATGAAAATACTGTAGTATACAGTGATGCAAAAAGTTGTCACAAAATTGGAACCGGGTAGACTTTCAATGACAAGAAGTTATGTTGTCACTGTAGAGAGAGCGTTTGTGACGACTTTACTTGAGTTGTCATAAAATCATTTCCCGCGGCATCAAATGAGATGCGCGCCAACTATTTCGTGACGAGTTGAGAATGACAACTTCCAATGTTGTCACTGATTATGCTTGTGCTGTACTCATCTGTGATGACACCTAATGTCGTCACTGAATTAGGTTATCTGTGACAAGATTTTTGTTGTCACATAAATTTTTGTCACTGAAAAATATATTTCTTGTAGTGGTGGTTGATTCTCGACCAATGACTAATGAATGAAAAAAACTTTTTATTATGTTCCCTTTATTCTAATATATTACTGTTGGTGTCATCATGTAAGGGCAGATTGATTGGAAGCCTATTAGGGCATTTGGCCGAATCTGAAACTAAATAAGATTTCAACTTAACCTTGATTTTAATATGGGCTGAAAATAGAGTCCATGTCAAGCTATAGACAAATAAAAGACCCATTATGAAATGGGTTATTCACTCTAGATTTGGGATAGTTTTGGATCTTAAAAATAATGGCTCAGATTAGGGATCACTGTTAACTTGGTAACATAATAATGGTTCAGGCTGGTAGTCAAAAGGTGATGGCCTTTGTCAGGAAGCAATAATTCACCCAAATTGTAGAAAACGATGACGTTTCATTCAATTGAAAAAATTAGATCTGATAGTAATAGAAATAAGTGTGACGGCCTCATATGAGCTGAGAATTAGTGGAACGACGTCGCGCAAGGCATTAACAAATTTAGTTACAAAGAATTAAGTGAGTCTGTTGTCTATCCTATTTGTACACATGTGATTGGGCAAGAAGGTATCATAACAGAATAACAGGATTCATTTTCTTCTTTCTCACTTTCTCTCTCTACTTTCCCTCGCTCCCCATTCTCTCTTCCCCTCTTCAACTCTCTGCAACTTTCTTCCTCAATTCTCGGTCAATTCTCCAGATCAGGGCAACAATGGAGCCAGTAGCCTGACAATTGGTATCAGAGCAGGCTGAATCCTTGGACGATACCAAGAATCAATGGTAGAAAGTACCAGATTCAAGACACTTGAGGCACAAATCAGGAGACAAGAAGTTCGACTCCAAGAAGTAATGGAAGGCCTACAAGCTTCACAGACGCAACAACAACAGATGCAAAGTGAATTCTGTACTGAGTTAGAAGAAAACAACAAAAGGATGGAAAGCTTGGTAGTTGAAATGAGGTAGGAGTTAAGTACCTTCATGAGAGCAATGATCAGCAAAGAAAGACTGATTCCAGAGGAGGACAGACCGAGGACAGATTAGGCACCTCTACTGCCAACACCTCCACTAAATCAAAGGCTACAGATAGGATTTGAAAATAGCAGGACAATAAGGAAGGACGCGGGTAAGATTCTGATACCAAATCCTCCCAGAATTGATTTACCTATGTTTTCTGGTGAAAATCCTAGGGAGTGGATCCGCAAATGCAATAAGTACTGCCTAAATTACCAGATCCCTGAGGATCAAAAGATAGAAGTAGTGGAAATGTATTTGGAAGGGAGGGTAGACAACTGATTTCAGGGAATTAAATTGGAAAAACCAGGGATGACTTGGAGAACATTTGAAGACTTACTGTTTAAAAGATTTGATAGCAGAAGTGGTAAGGATGTAGTGGAGGAATTTAATAAATTGAGGCAGTCTGGAAAGGTAAAGGAGTACCAAGAGAGGTTTGAGGAACTTAAAACACACATGATGATTAGGAATCAACATTTAGATGAGGAGTATTTTGTGTCCAGCTTCATTAGTGGACTTAAGGACGAAATCAAAACTATGATAAAGATGGTTAAACCTGCAACTCTGTCAGAGGCCTTTGAATTGGCTGCACTCTAGGAAGAAGCATTAATGCTACAAACAAGGACATTCAAAGAAGGAGGGAAAACTATGCCTAAAGACAGATTTGGTATTTCCAGGAGTTCTTCTCCACACCAGAACCACAATCCTCACTATAGAGTTCCCTCTACCAGTACCTTTAGGAACACGCCATTCAAAGGCAGGGCAATGCCTACTCCAGGGCCTGAGCCTTGGAGAATCTCAACCCAAGAGATGCAATACAGGAGGACTCATGGACTGTGTTTCAAGTGCAGAGAGAAATTTGGGTAGGGTCATCGGTGTAAATCTGGTCACCTAAACCTTTTGGTTACTGATGAAGAGGAGGAATCTGAGTTTGATGATGCATTGGGAGAACAAGATGAGGCTACTGGAAATCCAGGACAAACCATGGAAATATCATTACATGCATTATCAGAGGCCCTAAAGAGAGACTATAACCCTGATAGGGAAGTTGGATAGAGAGGATATGCTCATCTTAGTTGATACAGGGAGTTCAGACAGCTACTTCAGCAGCGAGAAGGTGATTGCATTTGATATACCATATCAGTTAGTTGAGCCATTCTCTGTGGTTGTAGGAAATGGTGCCTGTGTTACCAGCAAGGCCATCTGTCCCAGGGCTTCATGGGAAATTGCCCAACATAAGTTTTGTTTTTATCTCAAGATGATGGACCTAAGTGGCAGGGATATCATATTAGGAGTAGATTGAATGACTTATTTCAGCCCCATTACGTTTGACTTCCATCAGCTGGATATCTCCCTGCACCATCAAGAAGGGGACAACCAGAAAATTGTGACTTGGATCTCATTAGGGGCAATGACCTGAGAAGTTTCATTGAGTACAATAAACAGATGTGTTTGGCTTTGAGAATAGAGCAGAATAAGTTGTCTAAAGAAGTGCTTCTGCCTACTGAGATGCAGCAGATCATTGCAGAATTTGATGATGTCTTCTAGACTCCTATTGAGTTACCCCCCACAAGAGAAATAGATCATGAGATTCCCTTAAAACCTGACTCCCAAGCTTTCAAAATGAAGCCTTACAGGTACCTCACTCCCAGAAAGGTGAAATAGAAAAGCAGGTCACATATATGTTACAGCATGGGATCATTAGCAATAGCAATAGTCCTTTTGCCTCACCAATTTTATTAGTCAAAAATAAAGAAGGAACGTGGCGTTTTTGTGTGGACTACAGGCGTTTAAATGAGATGACCATCAAGGACAGGTACCCCATACCAAATGTGGATGAGCTGATCAATGAATTAGCAGGATCAAAGTACAAAACCAAGTTGGACCTCACCTCAGGCTACCACTAGATTAGAGTTAAGCCAAAGGATACTCATAAGACTGCTTTCCAGACTCACTGTGGACATTATGAGTTCCTAGTGATGCCATTCGAATTAACCAATGCACCTGCAACATTTCAGTCCCTTATGAATCAGACATTTCAACCATACTTAAGAAAGTTTGTACTGGTGTTCTTTGATGACATCCTGATTTACAGTCCCACGCTGGAATTGCATTTAGAGCACCTAAAAATAGTGTTATCTGTCCTGAGGCAATATCAGCTATTTGCAAAGAAATCCAAATGCTTCTTTGCACAGGAGAAGGTAGACTACCTTGGCCATACCATAACTGAGAATGAAGTCTCAATGGACTAGTCCAAGATTGAGAGTATCCTGACCTGGCCTACGCCTAAAACAGTGAAGGAATTAAGAGGATTTTTGGGATTGACTGGATACTACAGGAGGTTCATCAAACACTATGGGATCATCTGCAAACCACTCACAGAATTACTCAAGAAGGATAACTTTGTTTGGAACTGTGAAGCAGAGGAGGCCTTCAGGTCACTAAAAATCATCATGTGCAAGGTTCCTGTGCTTAAACTACCGGATTTCCACAAAACTTTCACTATTGAAACTGACACCAGTGGAGGAGGAATTGGAGCAGTACTGATGCAGGAGGGTCATCCTATAGCCTTTCTAAGTAAGGCCTTATCACCTAAGAATTTGGGGTTATCAACCTATGAAAAAGAACTACTGCATTGGTGATGGCAGTGACCAAGAGGAAGCACTACTTGATAGGATATCATTTCATTATTAAAACAGACCATCAGTCCCTGAAATATTTGCTGGACCAGAAGCTCACCACTGCATTACAACATAAATGGTTGGCAAAGTTGCTTGGCTTGGACTATGAGATTCAGTACAAAAAAAGGAGCAGAAAATAAAGTAGTTGATGCACTATCTAGACTGCATGCAAGGAGTACAACTCAAACAGTTCCAATGGGGTCCTGCTTAGCCATTTCCACTGCTAAGCCATTATGGATCCAGGAACTTCAAGAGAGTTACAACTCTGACCCTCAGTGTCAGGACATCATCTCTTAACTATTGCTGGATCCAGCTGCTCAACCACAATATACGTGGAACAGTGGACTATTAAAGTACAGTGGCAAACTTTATGTAGGGTCATCTAAGGGCTTAAGGGACAAGTTGATCCAAGCACTACATGGTTCTGCTCTTGGTGGACATTCTGGCCAAAAGGGGTGCTGGCAGAGGCTGAAAACTTTATTTTACTGGCCCAACATGAAGCAAGATGTCATCATGTTTATTCAAGCTTGTGATGTATGCCAGAGATTTAAGTCAGAGCATGTACCATATCCCGGATTACTGCAACCATTACCTATTCCTCGTTTGGCCTGGACTCACCTTACAATGGATTTCATAGAAGGCCTGCTAGAATCTCAGAAATATAATACAGTGATGGTGGTAATTGATAGGCTGTCCAAAGTGGGGCACTTCTTTGTATTAACACATCCCTTCACCGCCAAGCAAGTGGCTCAACTCTTCCTTGACAACATTTTCAAACTGCATGGACTTCCAGAGTCTATAGTGACTGACAGGGACAGAATTTTCACTAGTGCTTTCTGGCAGGAATTGTTCAAACTCGCAGGGACAGAACTAAGGTATAGCTCTGCTTATCATCCTTAGTCAGATGGGCAAAGCGAAAGGCTCAATCAATGCTTGGAAGCCAATTTAAGGTGCATGACTCGGGAGTTTCCCCACAATTGGAGGAAATGGCTGCCTTTAGCAGAATGGTGGTACAACTCCTCCTACCACTCCAGCTTACAAATGACTCCTTTTGAGGCCCTCTATGGTTACAAACCCAACCCTTTACCTCTAGGCCCTCATCTCGATACCATTATACTAGCAGCATCTCAACTGCTCCAAGAAAAGATGAGGATTTCTAGCAGCATCAGAGATCACCTGGCAAAAGCTCAGCAAAGGATAAAGTATTTCGCAGACCAGAGGTGTACTGAGAGAACTTTCGAAGTTGGTGATTGGGTATTTCTTAAGGGATAATTTCAGAAACCTCCCTTGAGGTTTCATGAAATATCACCTAGCTCTCCTAAAATTTTCAAAATCTCACTTAGCTCCCTTGAAGTGATAGTAGGGCCATATACTAATATCAAAGGTGATGAATTGTCAATAATACCCTCATATTTAAATTTTCTTAATTTGGTTTTTTTCTTTAAATTTCCTACTTTTCTTTAACAACGTCTATACAAACATACATACATATATATATATATATATATATATATATATATATATATATATATATATGTATGCATGTATAATTGAATTACAAATGTCAATGAAATATAGGATTTAATCAATGAAATATTCAATGCATTTGGAGAAGGATAACTGCAAGTTCTTTTTATTTTTTCCCTTTTTTGGTCTTTCACAACTTTATTTATTTATTCCTATTCATGTAGAGCGCAAGACAAATAAAGTAATTGAAACTCCAAATAGTTTTTCAAATTCGGACTTTTTCTATAATAAAATGTTCATATTTCACACCCATAAAATGTAATACCACCGGAAAGAAAGATCCTATTAGGCAATATGAAATTATTTTTCTACAATTTAAGTTGAGTTTTACAGTAAAAGCAATATTCTGCCACCTTTATACCTCTAACTCTACAATCTAAAACATTCGTCCACAAAATTTTTTTCCTTGGAAATCATAATTTCATAGTGGACTAATGTAAACTGTACTAGATCCATAACTTACTAAATAAGCCTTTCGGATATTAATAAACTTACATATACGAATCTAGGTAGAGATTCTCCACCTATATGGTTTTCCACTCAATAATGTACTAAAAGAGCAAGTTAATAAGTTCACACAGCTTTTATTTATCTGCTTATTTTTTGGCTTTCTTTCTTACTCAGTTCACCAAACACGAACAATTCAGGCCTTTCATCCCGGAATCCAAAACCAACATGACCTGTCCGCAATATATATGTAAAGCCCCAGCTGAAAGGACTATACTATAAGTTGTTCATCATTCTTCCTTAGTACGATTTGAAAATGTGGAATATGGAGACGTTTTCTCTATATCTCCTCTCCCTTGCAGTCGTCTTAGTCTCCTTCATCTTCCTTGGCATTCTTAGTCAGCGTTATAACTCAAACAGATCCAAAGTTCCACCAGGCACATTTGGATTCCCATTAATTGGAGAGACAATCCAGTTTTTGGCAAGTGGCCCAGAAAAATTTTTTCATAGGAGAATGGAAAAATACTCGGGAGATATATTCACAACTTCATTGTTTGGAGAAAAAGTGGCTGTAGTTTGCGGCGCCGCTGGGAACAAATTTTTGCTCTACACTGCAAACCATCAGCTTACTCCTTGGATTCCTTCTGCAACTTTCAAATTATTGAATTGGATGGATTCTGCTGGACAGTCATACAAACAATCCCTCTCAGGAGGTCGCATTTTTCTTAATAAAGAAATGCTCAAACCAGAAATCTTGAGGCAGTACATAACCATCATGGATTCCTTGGCAAGGCAACATATAAACACTTATTGGGATCCTTCCCAAGTGGTAAAAGTTTATCCCCTTTCCCAAAAGTACACACTTTCATAGGCCTGCAGATTGCTCCTTGGTGTTGAAGATGCTGACCAAACTCGAAGGATATATGATTCTTTCAGTCTCGTAATGCAAGGGTTGTTCTCAATTCCAATCAATTTGCCTGGCACCACATACAATCGTGCTTTGAAAGAGACCAAAACACTAAAGCAGCAATTCTTGAATATCATTGCGGAAAAGAAAAAGACTGTTTTGGAGAACAAGGAAAGAGCCGGTTCGGACGTATTGTCTCGCACCCTCCTGGACGAGAACGCCAATTCCATGTCCAACTCCGAGATTGGTGTTTATATTGTGAGTTTAATGCTTCCCAGTTACGAAGCAGCAAGTGCATCTCTTACATTGTCTTAATGTATCTTGCAGAGCTTCCCCATATCTATGATATGGTTTACAAAGGTAAGTTATCCAAAATCTGAACCATATATGTCTGTCCAAAATTAATCAAGTTCTTAGGTTTCTGCAAGAAACCAACTCGTTTAGGTGTAGTTGGCCAAATCAGGGACTCTAAACTTGGGAGATCGACCCCTTTGAGTCCATCCCTAGAGTAGAAGTAGATTAGCAATTATCATGTTCAAAAAAAAGGGAGAAACCACTATGGTCGATCTTTTTTTTTTTTTTTTTTTTTTGCATCTTCAAGCCTACATCTATAAATAGGGGTTAAAATCTTCTTGACTTTTCATGGCCTAGATGGCCCAGAAAAATTAGGCTTTGGTTAGCTAGGTCTTTCATAATCTTTTTTCTTTTTTTTTCCCAAAATGGTCTTCCAACTAATTAAAATTCATATGCTTTCTATTTTTTTCCCACTTTTTTTACAAAGATATATCTGTAATGGTTGCTTGAAAAATTCTCTGGAAAATGCAATTGGAAAGGAATTATGTAAACTTTCGTGGCTTTTTCACCTATAAATATATATTTTCCCATGACAAATGGCAAAGGCTACCGTGTGGAAGCCTTGCGATTTTAAACTTCAAACAGCAGTTCATGTCATATGTCCACTGCACCAATATAAGTTGTAGCTAGAAAAGTTTATGGGAATAACGAAAACAAACAATTTAACTGCAAGTTAATTATTTATCTAAAAAACCTACAAGTTAATCATTACATTCAAAGCACTTAAAGAACTCTTGATGCTGTTTTGCACTATGTTTTAAGTTTCACAAGAAACGTACAACTCATACTCTTTTTAACTTATGCTTTTAAATAAAAGATTAATTTTCTATACATTGACAGTTTATACACTTTTACTATTGGATGTCATACATGTAATCTGAATTTAAATTTATAATTCAAATTTTGCATACGTATATCGTACATCTAACCGTAATAATGTATCCACTATCAGTATATATAAGATTCACTCTTAAGTAAATTAGATGATCTTATTAGTCAGCTTATCATAAAAAAGGAACACAACATTGCCATACCCAGAATTAGTACAATTATTATTATTTTTTTAAGTATGGGAAGAAGCCACCATAATCTCTTTTTTTTTTTTTTTTATTTTAAAAACGAGTGAACAGTGATACATATTGATACACTAAGTAGATTCCTTGCAATATGTAAAATATATGGAGATTGCCGAGTCCAAAGCTCCTGAAGAACTATTAAATTTGGAAGACATCAAGAAAATGAAATATTCTTGGAATGTGATATATGAAGCACTGAGCCTAACACCACCTAGCTTGGTTAACTTTAGAGAGGCCCAGACTGATGTCAATTTTGCAGGTTTCACTATTCCAAAAGGATGGAAGGTATGTTATAATAGTTACCCTCCACGATAAATCACCGAAGAAAAAGAAAAAGAGAAACAGTTGACAGGGTTCTGTTTTCAGGTGCTATGGAGTCCATTTACAACCAACAAAAATCCCAAGTACTTTCATGATCCAGAAACTTTTGATCCGACAAGATACGAAGGTGATGGTCCTACAGCTTGCACATTCTTACCATTTTCGGCAGGACCACGAATGTGCCCAGGGAAGGAGTATTCCATGTTCTTGATACTTGTATACATTTATAACGTGGTGAGGAATTTTAAGTTACAAAAAATGATTCAAGATGAGAAGATCCAATACCGTGTTAGCGCAGTTCCAGCCAATGGCCTCCCCATCCGTCTACAGCCACACAACAAGTAAACAGTTCTCTTTAAGTTCAGCATCGGCCATTGTATGTTCAATGGGTATTCGAGCTTTTAGAGTCTATGGAGAAATGTAATTGGGCATATTTGTCACCAATAAATCAAAATCAAGAAATCCTTATTTTTTTTCTCTTTTTCTGAGAAGACTTTAAATCTTACAAAGGGAAAGGCGAGGAATTGAAAATTGAACTGAAAAATTCATGGTCACCAAACTCATGTTTCTACAAATACTCCCTCCGTCCCACTTTGATAGTCCTGTTTTCCTTTTTTGTCTGCCCCAAATTGCAGTCCACTTTCCAATTGAAGAATATAGTTGTATTTTCATTTTCCTAAAATACCCTTATTCAATACAAGTAGTTGTTGCTATAAACCTACCCCATTTAATGAGAGTTTATTCTTTTTTTTACCATTAATTCAAGTTCCCATAAAGTTGTACTCTATTTAATGTGAGGGTATTTTAGGAAAATAGCAATCTAAATTTACTTTTCCAACAAAGTTAACTACTTTTTCTTAAACTGTGTGAAAAAAGAAACAGGACTATCAAAGTGGGACGGAGGGAGTAATTCAAAACGAAGACATCTTCTTTGAAAAGAGTCGTTACAGCTGGCAAGCAGTGTCTTAAAAGACCAAGACATTAGATGAGGCTTCTTCTTCTAATTCTTGCTAAGGTGAGCGGAACCCCGTTGAATTTTAACTTTTAGAAATTTATAACAGATCAGTCGGTCCGGTCTATGAATTTATTCTAACTTTCAATGAATTCCTTTATTTGGATTTTCTTTTGGGGACTTATATTCAATTTTAGTGTGTCTCACAGCAGAGAAATTTTTGGGGGGTCGTTTCGGTTTCGGATTTGGAATGAATAGGTTCAAGGGATGAAAGAATTAAGGATACCAACTACAAAAACTAAGCCAATCCATAATAATGTACCAGAAAATATAATATTTTTGTTACTTAACCAGCCATTAGGAGAAGCAAATACAATAGGCATACTAATCAATAAGATTGATGATGTCGGAAATTTAAAGTAGGTGCAAATTCTCCCAACAATGGAATTGGAGTATGGATGGAATATAATGAAATAGAGCCACTTCAAGTTTCCTCTAAAATGAGTCATAGAAGGAAGCCACTATGTAGAAGTTCCAGAGGTTACAAAATCTGTACATTTTCACATTTAAGATTTATATATACAACATATAATGCTGCCAAGGGGAATTTAGAAATTTAAATATTAAAAGGAAGTTAGAAATATGCAATATTCAATAAAAATGACAATTTCAAAGTAGACTATTTGTTTTGCTATCATTTTCTAGTTTCTAGCAAGTGGATTTTTGTGATATCTCAATTTTCTCTTCAATGTTTAAGCCGTTTGAATGCTTGGAAGCATTTTGAGTGTGCCTTGTCCCGAGGATCGCCCCGACAATGTCTTTTAAAACATTGATCGTAACATTTACAGTGCAAGGCACGCTTCGTTTATAATCCTCAAACTCGAAGAAGGCATGCTGTCAGTGGAGTACTTTTTTTTTTTTTTTCTGAAACGATAGAATTTTATTATAATAAGGAAGTAAAATTACAAAGGTTGAGCAAGGGCTCAAATTGGTCTTTACAAAAGTGGACTAGGCCACTGATGAACTGAAATTTCATCCTCAAAGTATAATCATAGCTAATCTACTCAGTTTAGTACTGAGTCTATCCATAGCAACAGGCAAACTATCAAATGAGCATTTCCTAAACATTGAGCAAAAGTCTTTTATGTCGTCCAAGTGAGTTGCCAGCCTTAAGTTACCAGAACCTTGATAGCGTATCATATTAAGAACCTGACTGCATGGAGTTCGAATATTGACATGCTGCCAACCTTTGTCCTTGAGCTTCTGAAGTGTCAGTTTTATAGCCAAGAGATTGTCCAAAACTGCTGAACCAGTGCTTCTCACGCTCAGTATCCAAGCCTCACGTCTTTGGCTCAAATTATTTTCTGCTGTCACTCCAATTCCCATATTTTGGCCCTCGACATGTTGACCCACCTCAATACTGATGTTCAGCGAGCACTCCTCATCCCCCATCCATTCCTCCTCATCTTGTGCTGTTTCTGTTTCGAGAATGCTCAACTGATGTTGTTTCTGTTGTGATTGTTGATACTCCTCCCAATCCTTCATGGCTTTCCTAATGACTTGCATAGGATGTCTATCCTTCCCTTCAAATTCAGCTTCATTTCTAGCTTTCCAGATCTGCCAAAGTATTTCCACTGTTAAGTTTATGTGCTCCCTTCCCTCCTTTCGCACCTGCACTTCCATTAACATACTCCACCATCTGCTGAAGTCAGCTGTGTGCTCTTTAAGTCCATCCCACTGGAGGGGCGCCATCCGCCATATCATTTGTGCTTGTTTGCACTGAAAGAAAATATGTTCCACAGTTTCAGTATTTTCCCCACACCGCTTGCAGATTAAATCACCTTTGCCCGTTCGTTTATGTACTACCTCCCTACATGGCAAGGCTCGGTTCAGAATTTTCCATACAAACAGCTTTTGTTTGTGTTTGATCTTCATCTTCCAGAGCTGTTTCCAAGCTTTCCCGCTCCCTCCTTCCCAGCTTGTCTCTCCCTTATCTCTGCCGTTGCCTTCCAACCAATTTTTCCTTCTTGTTATTGCATCATATGCTGAACTCACTGTGTACTGTCCATTCTCACTATGGCTCCAAAAGTAGGAGTCTGGTCTGCTAGTAAGACTAATAGGAATTTTGAGAATCTGTCTGGCTTCTCTCAGATTGAAAGTTCTAAACACAAGAGGTGCATTCCATCTGAAGTTACAAATCAGGTCACTCACTTTACTCATCGTACAAGTTGGGGGCTTTGTGGACACCACTTTACCTTCTTTGCCATCCTGGATCCAAGCATCCTCCCAAATTCTAGTGCCTTTGCCATTCCCTATCTTCCTCCTTGCTCCTCTTCTTACCTCCTCGCTTGCGCTCATCATGCTTTTCCATATCCAAGAGGAGTTGGCTTTGGCTTCGCAGCTTAGGGGTGACTCATGTTGGTAATACCTGGCTTTCATCACCTTACTCATCAGCAGGTTTGGGCAGGTGAGAAGCCTCCAGATTTGTTTACCCAACAATGCTTTATTAAAGCCTTGTAAGTCTTTAAAGCCTAAGCCACCATTATGCTTTCCTTTTGCCAGCTTTTGCCATGAACACCAATGCACTTTCCTTTTGTCATTTTCCTCTCCCCACCAGAACCTTGCCATAAGAGCTTGAATGCCTTTACATAGCTTGACTGGAAGCTTAAAACATGACATGGCATAGGTTGGCATTGCCATATGGAGTCATCAAGACATCTTATGTACCGTCTGTAGATCAATTGGCTGATTTGTTTACTAAGAGTTTAAGGGGCTCTAGGGTGAAATACATTTATAACAAGTTGACTGCTTATGATATATATGCTCCAATTTGAGGAGGAGTGTTAGAAGAATATCAGTATTCTTGTAGATACACTACAAGAAAATTGTTCATTAGTGACAACACAAAGTCATCACAGAACATACAAATATCGTCACAAATACCTTTTATTGACGACTTTTTGATCGTCACAAAGTCGTCACTAAATCCCCGTCGGTAAAAGTAAATAGTGAATAGTTGTCATTAGTGACGACTTTAAGTAGAGCATTTTTGATAAAAGATCAAGTCGTCAATAAAACACTTTCAGATTGTCGTCACTAATGACAACTATTTAGTGACGACCTAAAATGTCGTCAATAAATAGTTGTCATTAATGACAACAATCTGGAAGTGTTTTATTGACGAATTGACCTTTTGTCAAAAATGCTCTACTTAAGGTCGTCACTAAAAAGCAGCGAAAGCCATTGTATATAACTATTTTACTGACAACAATTGTCGTCACAAATGTAGCTTAGATTTAGTGACAGTCTCTGTTGTGACAACTTTTTTTTGTCATTAGATAATTTCTCAATAGCTTAATAGTCATAATTTGGCCTGTAATCATTGCTAAATCATTGATTTTAAACAAACCATACAAATAAACATGAACGATTGATAACCAAAAGTATTTGCATTAGATTACATGGTAATAATATAGCATTCTCAAATGCCAAATTCAAGTGTACATTACCCAACTAATGCCTACAAAAATAACATTTGTTCAAAATATCACTTGTACATAAGGTACATTTACAAAAGCAATCACATTTAAGAAATTGAAGAACATCTAAATGAACCACTCCATGAGCAAAAGGCAATTTTGTCTTCAATATTCTTCAACCATAACCATAGATATCTTCCAAAAGCTAGTATGAATATCATTTATCTGTCATAAAAGAGTAAAGAAGTAGGTAAGGGAGGAGTACAATAATAAAGAACAAGTAATGAGACTTAGATTATTAAGACAAAAATTACAATTCATTAAGAATCTCATATAATTTGGGCCCACATATTACAACACCAGCAAGAAGTTAGAAATCACAGTCCAATCTATACAAATACAACACTGCATAAGCTCAACTAAAGAGTCTTTAAAAGAGTTTTTTTTATTTTCTTTCTTCTTCTTTAAATAGCTCAACTTATTGAACAATTAAATTGGACTCCCACAGTAATTATTGTTTAATTTTTATACTTTTTGTTTATATATTACAACACAGAAAGCAACTTATTGTACGAGGTGTGAATACAGGAGGTACTAGCCCTCTTTGATTTTAGGAGTTTATGCTTCATAAATCATGAAGGAAACGATGCCTCTGTAGGATTAAACTGTACAAAGAGAATGAGTTATTTGCCTCACATGTGAAAGTGAAGACCATCTAAACAGGTAAAACCAATATAAAGTTCACAAACGCCTCCTTTGCATTATATTCATTTCTTTCAAGTCACTACATAGGCAAAAAGAAGATTGCTATCCATGCATGGTCTGTCGCTTGTACTTGGAAATAATATACTATTGCAGATGAACAATCAGATTTTTACCTCTCTATTGATAAACTAACAGCACTATATACATGA